GTGTGTGTGTGTGTGTGTGTGTGTGTGTGTGTGTGTGTGTGTGTGAAAGTTTGGCCCAACACTGGTTAGTATGCCATGCTTATCTCCATCTGCTGTTTCATACACATCTCCCACACAGGCCTGTGTCTGACACAGACCTGAAGACAGAGGGGACCCCACACTCAGGTGCACAAACAGCATCACGGTCCCTAGTGCCTGTGGCTCGTCTGGTGAGTGAGAGCCCCAGCATAGGGAGAAGGAGGTGGCTGCTGCTGTTAGTCTTGGCTCACTCTTGTTGTGGCCTGGGCGCCTGGGGTCTCAGTCTTCAGGGGTGGGTGGGCTTGGCTCCTCCCCACCTCTTGTTTCTCTCCTCTCTCACCCCAGTCTCCTAGGCAAGGGTCTATCCCTTCTTCCTCTGCTCTCCTGAGATCTTGCCCATTTGCTTTGCGCTGATGGGCGCTTGGGTCAGTCAGAAGGTGGTCTGAGCCAGCAGGTGTTCTGTGACAGGCCAGAGAGACAAAGAGGATTTTTGTGATGTGGGTGGATGTTGCTCAGAGGGTGCTGAACCAGCCTTCCCCAGGAGAGCCTGGGCAACTTGAGTGGCAGCAGAGGGCTCCTTGGGCTTGGCACTGAGTGAAGCTGAGGCATATTTGTGATGGAATGACCGGAGCTCTGTGCCTCACTTCCCAGAGGTGCCAACTGTGTGTGTGCATGGTGCAAGACCCCCAAGAGGAAAGACAGGATGGGAGGTGTTGCCAAGGGCGGGTACCCCCTTGGCTTCCTGCCCACACCTCCATCTAGAATGTAGAATGCATCTGACTCCGAGGCGCAGACCTGTCAGCCCTGGCTGTGACTGGCTCTGCGTGTTTTGCTTGGCTTTCAATATGCTATTATTGTTTTTAAAAATCTAATTAGCTGCCAGCATTTACTAACTGGCAGCTTTCACAGAAAAGTCCGGATTTCCGTCTTTTCTTGAAAAATACAAGCTCGGGTGGCTAAGGATTCACATGCATTTGTGGTGTGCTTCAATCAGTGCTGCTTGCCTGCCTCTGTTAGGGATGGCCCAGACACACCTTTGCCTTCCTTCTGGGCTCCTTTGGAGACTTTTTCTGCCTGTGTCCCTTTGAATGCATTGCTTCCTCAAGGGTAAATCCAGGCTAGCTCTGGCAGGCCTTTAGCAAGCCTCCTGCCATTCAGTACCTCCATCACTACAGAGGTGGGAGTGTCCAGGGCTCAGATCTACAGGGATCCTTGCAGTTGGGTAGACTTTTTGTGCTGGTCTGTGGGGTGATGTCCTGGTGTCCCCACAGGTGGAACATCAGAGCTCCTGGTGGAACTGAGGTAGGCCTCACATAGCATTTTTCTTCTTCGGATCCTGAGAGCTACTCTGTGAAGCCATACTGGTTGATAGACAGAGAAGGGAGGCTCAGACAGAATTCAGCGAGCCAGGGAGAGTTTTCGCTCCCTGGAGCAAAGTTCTCTGACCTTCTAGCATTGAATTCTGAGAAAGGGAGACCCTGATGTCTGTGACTGTGAAGTTTCTGGAGTCTTGCTTATAGCACACAGTAGGTGCTCAATAAATGCTCCTGGCATGACTAAGGCAAGGAAAACTGCTCCTTGGGATTAGGGCAAAGCAGAACACAGGGTTTAGGAGTAAGATTAGACACAGCCTGGCCTACATAGCCCTTTGAGGTCTGATGATAATGACAGTTCCCTTTGCTGTGACTCCTATGGCCATCAAAGAGCTCACAAAGTCCAGGTAAATCTATGGCACCACTCAGGTGCATCCTCTTGGACATCTGGCCTTGGTGAGCATTTTTTACCCTGTATTCCCTGAGCTAGCCTTGGCAAATGAGACACCGCACAGAGAGGGACTCAGACTACCACGAAAGCCAAACTCAGGTTCCTGCAGGCAGCTGCTGAATGGATGGGTTAGGGTGTGGTGGCTACTTGTTATTCTAAGCTGAAATTTCTATGGTCTTCCATGCTTTTCCTCTGCATGTGGCTGATTGTAGGTATGCTAAGCGTCCCTGTGACATGTGGCTGCCTGTCCACAGCTCAGGAGACTCGAGGAGGGGAGCAATCATTCACTGGACTTTCCTTGGTGCTTCTTGGAGATTTCCTGCTAGGTAGATGGTCTAGAGCTAAGGCTTGGGCCTGTCTCTGCCCCTCCTTTTGTGGGCCTCAATCTTCTCTTTTGTACAGTAGAGATTTCTGGCGTTTTCCAGTGCTCCTGAGCTTTCAATGAGAAGGCGGAGGTGGGGATGGCAGTCTAGCATTTTGTCCTGGCTAGGTACACATGCGGAGCTCAGGGGAGCTCGGGAGGGTGAAGCAGATGCCATGCAGCTGATTTCCTAACTGGAGGGGTGGGGGTGGAGAATCAGACAGGAACATACTGTGGAAAGAGGGAAAGGCAGCCAGGCATATGCCCAGGTGGAGCATGTGTGCGCATGCACTATGTAGAGGGTTGTGCTAGACCTTACTCTGTAGCCTAGGCTTAGGGGCTCTTTGAGGAGGGATTTCTAAACTGAGATATGGGAGCAATGGTAACAGTTAGTACAAGGGGCCTAGGGTGAGATTCTCTTTGATGTCTGTGAAGGAGGAAATGGGAGGAGGTGGAGCTTTTGTGGGAAGGGGATGGTAGGGATAGAGAAGGTGTGGGGTGTGCAGCAGGGAGTTTGAATCCTGGAGGTTTTTTTGTTTGTTAGTTTGTTCTGTTTTGCTTTTTGAGACAGGATCTTGCTATGTAGTTCTGACTGGCTTCAACTCACTATGTAGACCAGGCTGGCCTGAATTCCCAGAGATCTGCCTGCCTCTACCTTCCTAGTGTTCCAATTAAAGGAGTGTGCTAACATGCCCCAGAGGTTCCTGGAAGTTTGAACCAGGAAGCCCTGAGATGCAGGTCCATGTAAAGATGCTCTGGACTCATCCCAGTTCCAGAGGCTTCACACCTCTTCAGAATGGCTCCATGTGGCCGCTGAGCCCTCCTCAGAGCCAGGCCTGAGAAAATACATGCAAATGAGGAGCCAGCCCTGCGGCGGGGGGTGGGGGTGGGGGAACGGACTCTCAGCTTTCCCTGACATGTGGCAGTCAAATGGAGGCCACCATAGTCTTTTGTAGCATACTATGCAACTGTAAAAATTAGAGGGCAGGTTATGTGGAAAGATCTAGAAGGTCTGCTGGAGGAAGAAAACGAGGAGCTGCCACTTGGGTAGCCATGCTGCTGTGTGTAAAATCAGAACACACATTCACACGGGCCTGCATGTGCAGCAGCCACTACCCAGAGAGGAAAGGTGTGAACTGTGCTCACCTGGGAGGGGGCAGTGCCAGAGAGGCATTCAGATTTCCCCCTGAATGCCTTATTATATTTGGGGTTTGGGGCCTTGTCAGTGTTGTCGGCTCAGGACATACAGGAGAGGCTGGGAGTGTTCTGCCAGTAGCAGAACCTGTGGTTAGCGTGCACGAGGCCCCGGGAGCCACCCCTAGTGACACAGAAAATAAACCTTCAAACTTGACACAAAGCTGAAAGCCATCAGTGAGTAGGTGTTCACTTGTGAGTGTTGGGTGATGACTGGGAGTTGCTGCACACATCCCTGTATTCATGACCTCGTTGAACAGACCGACTTTTCTCTGGAATGACCTGTGAAAGTTTCCACGGTGATTGCATTGTATGGTGCCAAAGTCATGCTTGGCAAAGTCCAGCCAGTGAGCAAAAGGAAACCCTTCCCCTTTCCGCCTCTCTCCCCCTCCTCCTCCCTCTTTACTCTTGCCTTCTTTCCTGGGCTGTGCACTCCTGTCTGGAATGGGCATTTGGCATTTAGATGGGAGCGTGTGTCCTCACTTGGTCCTAGGCACATAGCCCAGCTCAGGGGGCTGGCTCAGACCCCACTCTTGCATGAGAGAAGCTGGTGTGAAAAAAAATCCCTCTTGGCCTCTCATGAGGTTCACAGCTCCGCTGCCCAAATATTGTGCTTCTTCAGTCTTGCTGATCCACTCAGCATCTAAGCCTCGGTTTCCTTACTGTAAGGTGGGTATTGCAATCCTTCTCAGTTTTGTCAGAGAAGACACACCTTCATTCTGCCAGTGTTCCCAGGGCACCCACTGTGTGTGGAATGCTTCTGAGTGTTGAGGATAACACAGTGACCCATCACAGAGCTTGATTTGGTACGGGGGGGGGCAGATGGTACACAGGTCCCTTGTGCAAGGGGTGGATTAGGACGCCTAGGACAGGGACTGAGGGTAGGCTCAGCATTAGGGACCTCCGCCTAGGTGCTGCTGCCAGGAGAGACGTTCAGACAGAAGGCCTGTCAGGAACACGTGACCAGAACCAGCTGCAGGATGAGACCTGTTCTCACCCCATGACTGAGGGTTATGGAGGTGGACAGTCATGGAGTTGGGCGGCCCGGCCACTGGAGGTGCCACACTGAGGGGATCCCAATGGGTCAGGCAGAGCTCTAGATGAGATACAAGATCTCCATGGCTGTGGCCAGCAAGGCAAGCTGGAGGTGACATTGATGTTATCTCCTCCTTCCGCTAGGTTACCTCCTACCTCCTACTATAGTGAGAAGCTGGAGCTGCGACCAAGG